CCGAGATACGTTACTTCGTTGACTTGGGGGATCATTGTGCTATTCAAGTGGATCGGAGGGCATGTTTGTCTGTTGAGAGTAAACGTTACGTGCTTACACTTCTGTTCGTTTATTTTGATACGCCAGTCGGATAGCCACTTCTCTACTACCGTGAGGTGGTTGGCTAATTGGGATGTTGCACGGACTGGGCATCTGGAGCGGCTGAGGATCGCAGTATCGTCAGCGAAGGTGGATGTTAGTAGTCCCTCGCTCGTGGGAATATCCGCTGTGTAGAGGACGAATAGAGTTGGTCCAAGTGCGCTTCCTTGTGGGACTCCAGCTTCGATTTTATAGTTTTCGGATGTTGTTGTGTTGCACCTCACTGCGAAGACTCTGTTGTAGAGATACGACTCGAGTAATTTGTGAGTGTACCCGGGAAAGTGTGTTTTAATTTTATGCATAAGACCGGTGAGCCAGACGCGGTCGAATGCTTGGGATACGTCGAGGAATATCGCGCTGCAGTATTCTCTATGTTCGAAGGCTGTGCGAATCTCTGATGTTATTCTGTTTACTTGCTCGATAGTTCCATGTTTTTCTCTGAAGCCGAATTGGTGGGCTGGGATAATGTTATGAGTTCCCATATATGGTAAAATGCGTGTTAGAAGGCATTTTTCGAACAGTTTCGACAGGCATGATAAAAGACTTATTGGTCTGTAAGAGGACGGAATCGTGTGATCTTTTCCGGCCTTTGGTATCATTATAATTATTGACTTTTTCCATTTTTTTGGATAGTAGCCAAGAATTATGATCCCATTGAAGATTTTACAGATGACCTCAATAGCACAGTTTGGAAGTTCAATTATCATTTTTGGAGTTATTTGGTCATCGCCGGGAGCCTTTGTCGGTTTAAGCCTCCGGATGACTTTGGTGATCTCATTCGGTCGAAACGATGGTATTGTGGATTCGCTTTCAGTTTGGATTTCCGGTAGAACGAAAGGACTTGCGGCGGGATTCGGTTGGAAGACGCCCCTAAGATGTGAGGCAAATGTTTCGGCTCTGTCTGTGTCGCTGCGTGCCCAGCCACCTGAAAAATTTCTTATCGGGGAGACGGTTTCAGCCGGAGAGCTTAGATTTGGGTGAGCCCTCCACAAAGGATGCTTTGCACTTGTTGGAGAGAGTTTCTCGATATATCTCAGTTGTGCGTTTTCGGCATCTTGCTTCAGAACCCGGTTTATTTTGCGGGTGGCTTCATTTAGACGTTGCTTTGAGCATGGCGATCTGCTGGTTTGCCACGCCCTTCGCAGACGCCTCTTTTCCAGAACGAGCTGTTCGATTTGCAGGTTGGTTTTGAACATCCATCGGGATGATCTGTGCGGTAGAAGGTATACCCCCGTATATGGAAGTTATATTTGCTTGTGAGGTGAGTTTCAACCAGCAACATGGCGTCGATGTGATTTGCATTTAGGAATTGAGTTATTTCCAGTTTATGCCGTGAAATGCCGTTGGCATTCCACATGGATATTCTTAGATTGGTCATTTATTATTTGGACTGCTGTGATACAAGCAGCTGCATCACCATATTCTGGTTCTGGACCAGCGTTTGCATGGTCGCTTTCATAAATGACATGAACTCCATCATACTTTGTTGCATGGTAAACATCATAGTTTCCAAATTACTTTGCGGCTGGGGTGGTACCTGTTTAGCGTTTTCTGAGTGTGGCTGGAGTGGTTTTTCCATGCCCGTTCGTAGAGCATCAGCGTAGGAGATGCCGTTGGTGGTACTGAGCGGACCGAACGACGATCTGGCTGCCTTGGCGAAAAATACGTCTGGCGTAGTTTTTGATTTTAAATACACGTTTTGTGTATTTTGTTGACGCGTAGCTGTCGCTTGTCGCATGCGACTCTTCAGCTCCTTGTAGACCAGACAGCCTCTGTACTTTGCCGTATGGTTTCCTCCGCAGTTCCCACATTTTTTTGTATGGGGATCTTCTTTGTTAGCAGCGAAGTGTGCAGTATATCCTGGTGTGCCCAAACTCCTGGCAATTTCTACATTGCACTGGGCCGTTCCGTTTGTGTGGTTCTTCCACTGTGATCCTCCGGTGCAGTAAGAACTGCAGCTTGTAGATCGGGTGCACTTCATTTTTCCTTAGGGTTTTGCTATCTGGCTCGAGCTCGACCTTAAAGAGTGGTTGCGGCTTTTTATTTTTGTTAATAATATTTCTAACATTCTTAGCAGAGAATCCCTTGCCTTTAAGGGCTTCTAGTATCTAAAAGGGGGCGACGTCGGGTTCGATTCCTTTTAGTACTACCTGTAGCCCTTTGCTACTTTTTAGTTGGTAGGTGTAAAAATTCTTTTTCGTTTCCTCCAGGTATTTGGAAACAGCTCGGAAGTGTTCTTCATATTTCGTCTAAACTTTGGTTTCGTGAATGTTTCCTTTAATAAGCGGAACAACATGAAAATTTTCGTCCCCGACCAGCGCAACAATTTTGTTGACCAGGGCGTTTGAGCTTTTTTCCCTAATGTAAATAGGTGGGGGCTTTGGTTTCTTTTGGGTCACTTGCTCCGGCTCAGCTTGGGTCTCGCCATCTGCTAAGAGGGAAAATCGGTTGCTGTTGTTTGAAATACTGGTTTTTTCCTTGGCTTGGATTGTACGGTTGATCTTTGGTTTGTTACCAACCGTGTTTGCGGACTAAGCTTACGCTTTATCTGGATGTAGCGATCCATACCGGTCTGTATGGCCGGAACCACTTGTTGCTGTTGCAGTTTGCGATGGAGCCGTTGACACCGTTTTCGCAATATTGGTCGTTGCTTTAGTTGTTGCCGTTACTTTTGCTGAGGTAGTAGAAATTGAAGCACTGCTTGTTGGTGCGTCTCCCATAGAAGCCGGTGGTGGTGGGGTCTGGCATTGATAACTCCAAGATGTGGGAGTTGGAATGAGTAGGGCTGGTGATAGAGAGCGGGCTCTCGTGCTTTCGACGGTCAGTAGGCCGGGTTGCTCTTTGTAGACGTTTTCTCTACTTCGGTATCGCGGGTTGAGAAATAAGCATAACAAGCGTTTCCTTGGTTTACGGAGCTTCTACGCTCATTATTTTGGTCGCCGCTCATTTATTTGAGCTTATCGCGCGTGGCAAAATTTGTGAAAAAACTGTATTATATCACTTATATTGGCAATTAGATATAGGCAACATGAGCAGGAGTACCCACGCGTACCCTGAGCGAATTTCGCGAAATAGAAATCTGATATTTCCGATGTATTTTTAGTTACTCGGCGGAGCGATATAAAAACACGTCTGTTGTCATTGACAGTTGATTGAAAATTTTTGAATTGAGAAAACACTTGAATTGAGAAAACACTTGAATTGAGAAAAAAAAATTCATTAAAATCTGAAAACGTTGTTATATAGCTGCCATAGGAAAGATCGAAAGTAGAATTTATGGAAACTAAATTATAACATCGTCGTTTTTCTTGAAATACGAATTAAACAATAGTCGAAAATTTGGAAAATTTATAGAAAAATCGTCATAGCTTCGATGATGTTTAGCCTTTATGCATTTTTATCGACATATTTGATGACTACAAGGGTATATAAGCAGGGCTTGCCGAAGCTAGCTTCCTTTCTTGTTTTCCATTAAGTTGCTATATTTTCGCAATTGTTGATATGACATACAGTGGTGGCCGTAAGTATTTTGTCAAAATAAAAGTGAAATATACTCGAAACCTGAAATTGCTTCTTTTAACTTTTGGTATCAATGGAAAGGTAATTCAAATGCCGTTTGAATGATACCATACTTTTCTCAACTCATTCGATATTTATTGAAAAGGGCAATTTAAAAAAAAAAAAAAAAAAAAAAAAACTTTTTCCCTCGGCTTCAAAACTAAAATTTTTGGATGCAAAAAGTTTCTTTAATCAAAAATAATAGTAACTGCAAAACGAATTTTTCAAAAATAATTTTTCTTCTATTTTTTATGATTTTTTGAAGGTGACAATGTCGGAAAAAAATTTGTATGGAAAAGAGAAAAATATGGCTGAAATGCGTATTTCTAGTCATTTTTTTGAGTTGATATAGTTGTCCGATTTTTATGAAGTTTTTTTTTTTATTTATAACAAAGTTTTTTTTTTGATTTAAGGATAGTTAAAAATCTCGATATTTCAAAAATCATGCTAATGGGATAAAAAACTACGACGTTATCGTACTTTTTGCCATTATAATTACCTATGGTAGCTATATGATATAGTTATCGGATTTTGATAAAATTCGACATCTGAAAGGAATCAAGTCGACATGATCAAAAACAACGGCGTGTTATTCTTCTTTTGTTTTCATCTCTGGTATGGGAGCTTTCCAATATCGTCGCACGATGCAGGCTATTCCGACTTACATACATATGTACTAAAATACAATTAACTTCACAACTTTTGGTAAAGTTTCATCAAGATAGCTTAAAAACTAAGAGAAAAGTTTACATATAAACAGACAAACAGACAGACGTTCTCGTGTAGTTTGATTCAGATCGTGATGCTGAACAAGAATTTATATATTTGATGGGATCTGAGGTGTCTCCTTCACTTCGGTGCTAACTTCTGACTAAAATTATAATATTAAAATTTTATTAAAAAAATAGAAAAATCATTATACATAGCTTTGATATGGTTTAGCCTTTATGCATTTGCTTGACATATTTGAAGGATGCAAGGGCCAAACAAGCTCATATGCGGCAGACGTTCACAATAACAAATAAGCACTAAGAACATTGGCGCTGAGCGCCCAGTTGGACTTTTTTAGAATTTTGTCAATTATCTTTTCTGAACGAGCTGTGTAGGACCATATAAAGCCCATATAAAGAACCTTATTTCGCAGCCAGTCCAAATTTTCAAAGAAACCTATTAGGTGCTCAGTGTATATTTTCGACAATGAAATTAAATTCAAATTGCTTCTAAGAGCTTTTGGCATCTTTTAATTCAATTTTTTTTTTTTGAATGTGATGTCTGCTTTTTACAACTAGTCTACTGTTTTATAGAATTGCGATTGCCACCCAAGTCAACAACAATGACAACTCCTCAGATGCATACCACGGGCAAACCGCGTCGAAAACAGACACCCAGTCACAGCAAAGGACTGAACGAAGTGGTGCGTAGCAAGGAAACCCACTTTTCAAATCAAGTACAGCAAGAGAATGACATATACAGCGGTGGGATTGGAGTGCTTCAGCGTACAAACAGTGGAGGTAATGGGGAAGTATTAAACAGTGAAAACAGCATGATTAATGGACCAGAAGGTAAGTTTGCTGCTGTAATTCAGCTAAACTGTTTTTGTTGTCATAAAAAAAGCATTAAAAGTTCTTTTTATTTTTTTATGCAAGGCACATAGCTTTTTGTTGCTCCAGACTTTCATATGATTTTGCTAAGATGCGATTTCCATCTCGAACCGAAAAGTAAAATTTTATCTTCCAGTGGAAAGAACATTAAGTCCAACTGTAAAGAGAGCGATTTTTGTAAAGTCCTTAAATTTCTAATCTATACTAATCTATACTAATATTATAAAGAGGTAAAATTTGTTTGTTTGTTTGTTTGTTTGCAACGAATAGGCTCCGGAACTACTGGTCCGATTTAAAAAATTCTTTCACCGATAGAAAGCTGCATTATCATGGAGTAAAATAGGCTATAATTTATTTTGAAAAAATCCGTAAGATCCGTAAGGATCCGTAAGAAAATTGCAATATTGTCGCATATAAAGTGAGTTGCTACCTCGTCACACTGACAAACAAGTTACCATAGCATTTTAACTCAATTTTCGTGGTTTTCATTTATCATTTCCAAGTAAATTAAGTTTTTTCACATATAATGCAAACCTTAGTGTTCTCTGCTCAGTTAATTTCACGGACAAACGGATATTGTGTTCACTGTGAAATTGTTAAAAAAAAAGAATTTTTATTCAATTTAAGTTCAACTGTGAAATTATGTGGATCGTGCATTTTTTTTTTTTTTTTTTAGCTTTGCTTTTATTTATTGAATCTACTCTTAATTTTGAGACTAACAATAAGTTGGCGAATCTTAACATTAAAATTTAACTAACAGTATACTAAGACTGCATTCTGGTTGCGCGTCCCTCAGGTCGATCGCTGGGTGGGTAAGTCATTGCGACGAAGGCGTGATTGGTTGCTCAACCTTGTTAAACCTCTCGCCAGGTGGTTAGGATGCACGGATAGCTTGGTTAAGTACTTCACCTTCTGTTCAGCGATCACTTCTTTGAATGGTAGAATGTTTAAGTCGCGGTGTATGTTTTCGTTGCGAACGTATCACGGTGCCCCGGTGATTGTTCTCAAGATCTTCGACTGAACTCTTTGTACTATGTCAATGTTGCTATTGCTGGCGTTCCCCGATAACTGGGAGCCGTACATCCATATGTTTTAGGACCGAGTTGTACAGCAGGACTTTATATTCAAGGCTAATAGGGGACCGAGCGTTGATAAGCCAATGAAGGCTGCTGGCTTTTAGCTTTAGGTGTGTTCTTTTGGCTTCAATGTGCCGGCGCCATGTGAGTCTTCAGTCGAGATGTACTCCAAGGCATGTTACTTCGTTTGCTTGTGGGAGTAGAGTGTTGTTTAATGAATTCGGTGGGCAGATTTGCCTGTTCAGAGTGAACGTAACGTGCTTGCATTTTAGTTCGTTCACTTTAATTTGCCAATCTGAAAGCCATTTTTCAACATCGACCATATGAAGAGCTAGCTGCGCAGTTGCTTGAATCGGGCATTTTGAGTGGCTAAGAATATCTGTGTCATCGGCAAATGTGGAAGTTGTTAGACGTGTGCTTGTCGGGATGTCTGCTGTGTAGAGGACATATAATATTGGCCCTAGCACGCTACCTTGAGGGAGAATTGTCTTGATCTTGTACATTAGACCTTCTAGCCAGACTCTATCAAATGCTTGAGAGACATCTAAAAATATGGAAGAACAGAATTTCGGATGTTATCCGGTTGACCTGCTCAATTGTTCCATGCTTCTCACGAAACCCAAATTGGTGTGACGGGATTCCTTCCTGGATTCTCAGGTATGTGTTTATCCGAGTCATTAGGCATTTTTCAAAGAGTTTGGATAGGCAAGAGAGTAGGCTTATAGGTCTATACGACGTGGGGATAGTGTCTTTCCCCGGCTTTGCTATCATTATTATAATTGACTTTTTCCATCTCACTGGAAAGTGGCCAAGTTTTGCGATGGCATTAAATAGCTGGGTGAGAGTGCAGACGGCGCAGTATGGGAGCTAAATGATCATTTTGGGAGTTATGAGGTCGTAGCCCGGGGATTTTTTCGGATTCAGTTGTCTTTTGATGATGTTAACGATTTCGTTTGGGCGAAACTGAATTGGCTCATGTTGAGGCTGGGGCTCATATGATAGAGTCGGCAAAGTAAGCGCATTGGTGGCAGGATTTGATTGGAAGACATTTTTAAGGTGTTTGGCAAACGTGCTGGCTCTGTCTGCGTCGCTGCGCGCCCACCCGCCTGTGGAATTTCTAATAGGCATCACGGTTTCTTTCGGTGAGCTCATAGTTGGGTGAGCTCTCCATAGTGAGTGTTTTGTACTGTTAGTTGACAATTGCTCTATGTAGCGGCGGTGAGCATAGGTTTCTTCTTGCTGTAGAGCTTGATCAAGTTGACGTGAGGCATGTTTTAAGCGTTGCTTAGCAGATGGCGATCTGTGACATTGCCATTCTCGACGTAAGCGTCGCTTTTCGAGGACGAGCTGTTCGATTTGTAGATTGGTCTTCTTTTGAATGCATCGTGTGTTTAAAGTTTGAGGTGTTGAAACTCGAGCTGCAGAGACGAGTGCAGAATTTCCTTTTGGGGTCACGAGACGAGATCCCCAGTGTGTGTTCTTGGCATTGTAGTCTCCTGCTGCTATGAAGTGGTCTCCGAGTGAGTTGAAAAACTGCATAAACTCATCTTCGGCTATGGTGAAGCGTGCGAGTCAGTATACGACGGATAGAGTTAATTGCTTGCCAGTATTTAGGTGTATATTTATTGATGGGGCCTGTATGTAGTTTTTAGCAAATTTCGTATGGTAATGGTGCTTAATACGGCTTCTGATTAAAATTCCAGTACCGCCGTGTGCTTTACCATCTGGATGATTTGTTCCATAGAATGTATATCCTCGTAGTTGGAAATTGTATTTCTTTGTAGGATGTGTTTCTGAAAGCAGCATCACGTCGATTTGATTGTCTAGAAGGAATTGCGCTAACTCGAGTTTATGCTGCGAAACGCCGTTAGCGTTCCACGTAGATATTCGTAGGGAAGTCATTATTTGGATTGTTGTGAAACCAGCATTTGTATAAGTAGATTTTGGTTTCGCATTAGATCTTGCATAGTTGTACGCATAAACGACATAAACTCCGTAAGGCTTTGTTGTAGACTGCATATCAAAGCTTCAAAGTTACTTTTTGGCTGCTGCGGCGGTTGATGCTGCTAAGCCGTGTTCGGTTCTTGGTGTGCTGATTGCGGCAGTGAGCTTTTGGGGCTGGGGTAGCCAGTCCTGATTTTAAAGCGCTTGCGTATGTGACATTTTTGGCAGAGTTTATGGGTCCTAGTGAGGATCTGGCTGCAGTCGAGAAAAAGACTTCAGGGTTTGACCTGGAGGCTATGAACTGATTATTTTGGGTGCGGGCAGTAGATCCCCTCTAGTGGATGCGACTTTTTAGCTCCTTATAAACTGGGCAACCTCTATAGTTAGCAGTGTGATTTCCACCGCAGTTGCCGCACTTTTTCGAGTTCTGGTCATCTTTGCTCGCTGGGCAGTGTGCGGAGTCATGAAGCTCACCACAAACTGAACACACCGGGCGCAGTTTACAGTAAGACCTTGTATGGCCATATTCTTGGCAGTTCACACATTGTACCGGGCCATTGCGTTTGTGCGGCTCCTCAACTGTAATTCTGCGGTGCAGCAGGAACTGAAGATTGTATATAGGGTGCACTTCGTATTTCTTTAGGGGCTTAATTTGTGGCTCGAGCTCAACCTTAAAGAGTGGCTGTGGCTTTCTATCCCTGTTAAGGATATTGAAGACTGTCTTGGCGCTAAATTCCTTCTCTTGTAGCGCCTTTGTTATCTCTGCAGGCGATACTTCGGGCTCTATGCCCTTAAGTACGACTTGCAGGCCCTTGCTGGTTTTTAGCTGATACGTGTAAAAGTTCTTTTTTTTTTGTCGGTGAGGTATTTCAGACTTCGTTTGAACTTTTGTTTCCTGGATGTTGCCCTTTACGAGTGGTATTATGTGGAAGTTGTCCTTGCCAATAAGCTCTATAATTTTGTTGACAAGAACGTTGGAACTTTTTTTTTTTGTATGTAAATTGGCGGGGGCTTAATCAATATAAACATTAGCGATTTCCTCGCTGAAAGCGTCTTTTCGCGTTGTTGTTGATTTACGAAACCAGTCACTGCACTTTTTGATATTATTGAATACTTTTTTTTCCCTGAGCACAATAAATCCACGTCTGCATGCGACGACGATACGCGAAACTGACATTTGAGGATAAATTCACCACTCTGTCCATAGTCCAAAATGCTAAGAGGACGACGTGCAAACATTGGCCGCAGACATCCAAGCCAGCAACAAGTATATTCACAAAACTTAAGCGAAGAAAGACAAATGAGCACATGGATTTCATTGGCATCATTCAATCGCTTGGCATTCCAATACAGTGATAATGAAAATTTAGATATTGGACCAATGGCGACTATATACCGATTTTGCAGTACTTTAAAGTTTAAAATAGAAACGGCTGGATTGTGCTGCGCAAGTGTAAAAGTCAAACTGGAATAGTGTTAAATCAAGATGGCACAATTTCTATACTTCCATATATTTGAAAAATGTTGCAACATTAACTTTTATGTTGCTAAATTGTGTTGACCAGCGAAGCGGACACAGGACCTCTAGTAATTTATAAAATTGGAGTAGAGGCTTAGCAATACGTATACATTTAAACTTACAGTTTTAATTCCCATTGGTACATACAAGTAAAATTCCGCAAAAACAATAAAATATTTTTGTTGAAAATTAAATCAACTAGACCCGTGAAAATTGATAGTTAATATGCATTTAACGTCAGTATTTTATTATATGTATTATATTTCAGCTTAAAAAATGATTAATAACAATTCTTATGGACTCTGTAAGAAGTTAGCAACGTTATGACTCTTTCGGCCCCTGGGGTGAACGTTAGCGAAACAATTCAATTTCTTTAGAGTTGGAAGAGATTTGCAGGTGCTCCCCGGTATGGTGGGGGTAGA